GTATGTATGTATGTATGTATGTATGTATGTATGTATGTATGTATGCATGTATGTATGCATGCATGCATGTAATGTTTAGTTTCTGAATCAAATGGGCATTAATACAATAAAAAAATCTTAATTACATCTAAAAGGTTAATGAAATTTGAAAAGTGGCAACTATTTATTTCTCATTTCTGTATCCAAATATAAAAAGTAAAGTTTCTAAAAACGTCACTTATTTTCCTTCTAATTTAAAGACTTTAATGTATGGAAATAAACTTGTGCCATCAGAAACTGTATTTGAATTGTTCAGATTGAATGTGCAAAATTTTAAATTAAATGCACTGGTYTGAATATTAATTTCACTAAATTATTAATGTGCCCACAAGATAATTAGATAAAWATAACTGCACCATCTGATTCCTACCACTAGGTGGCGACAGTGCAGCATCAGCTCGTAAAGAAGGACAACACTTTTAATTAACYGATAAATAAAATGAAATGAAAATCCTGTTAAAGAGAACTGCAGTTTAACCTCAGTCTGACCCAGAGGAGCAGAGCTAGTCATCCAATATTCAGAGAGAGAAGCACTCAAGTGAGAATAAAGACAGCTAGGTGTTTTAACTGGAAGCTGTGTAGTAGGTATTTATAGGTTTGCCGTAAGCGAATTAAAAAAAAAAAGCCTCTATTAAACATTAAAATTCTGCCTCTGCACAATTAAAAATAAAACTAAATCCTTCATATACATTAAAATTTCTAGTTCAAAATTTACTCAGATACAAAGTTGCCGAAGGCTGCAAAGAATGTTTAATAATACTTTTCTTCCCCCAGATTTTCAAAGCGCCTTTCTTTAAGACGTTGGCTCTGTTTCAGTTTTTATTCTGAATTCAGGCTCATAAACCAAGTTGTTTTTATGTGTGAACAAACAACTTATAAAATTAAACAAAAAAATGTTTCAATCAGAATATTACTGTGAGGTTTGCATCAAGTGAACTCCAGGAGCAGGCAGGACTCAGAAGGTCAAAAAAGATACAGTATAAGCAGGTTTAGTAACCAAAAGGTGCTGACGAGGCAACACTGACTGAGGCAGACAGCACAACGAAGCAACGCTCAAGTGATGACAGGAGACAGAGTATAAAGGTGAGGAGACAAGGGACTAATTGGAAACAGCTGAAGAGGAAATATGAGGATCAGGTGTGTGTGGGAGGAACACAGGCATTCACAGGGAAACACAAAAACACAGAAAATCAGGGGAAAATAAAAACAGACCTTGACAATTACAGGTTCTTTGTTACAATCGACTCCTCACACCGATACAACTCGGTCTCACTTTTTTGTTAAATCTTAATAAATGTTAAAGATTGGCAAAATAGTTTCATCAAATAAGTGAGTTTTAGCTCAAATAAACTGATTCGTTTCAGCTGTTAACTGAAAACTTGGCATACATTAGATCAGTAATTCTAAAAGTAGGTGTCTTTAAATAATCATCATCAACATCATCTAATTTATTTATAAAGCACATCTTAAGAACAAGTTGTTACCAAAGTGCTGARCACAAAAAGCATRAAAGTCAATATAAACAGCAAACATTTGAAGTCATAAGAAATATAAAAACACAGAACAATAAAATACAAGGAATAAATCACACTTGATTTAAAGTCAGAGAGAAAAGATGTGTTTTTAAAACAGATTAAAAAAGGAAGTGATGAGGCCTGTCTAATGTTGGAGGGCAGATTGTTCCAAAGCTTAGGAGCCACACCTGAACAAGCTTGATCTCCTCTGCTTTTAATAAGCGCAAGAAGTTAGATTAAATAATAATAAAACGTTGCTACTGACATATTACCCCCATAATAATTACAAAATTACAAATAGTAAATAAAAATAATTATATTAAGGAGTTTCACTCTAATGTCCTGAGGTTTACCACTCCTCTGCAGTTTTCACAGCTACACAGTCAGTCTGAATTTATTCTGTTTCTTCTGTGATGACCCTCTCCAGTCCACTAGGTGTCTCTATTTTCTTTCTTTCAGGGAGTCGGCAGATGTACGMTCAGGCTGGGGCTTAAAAGGTGGGTTTCCTGCTCGTTACGGCAGCTGGGACTTGGCCTCCAGGTTGGACCTGATGGGAGCAGGCAGCGGACTTGTGACATGGGCTGTAGCTGACAATTTTCTTTTTGTTTTTTGTTTGTTTTTGTTGTTTGTTTGGTTTTAGAATAAATCCGTTTTTCCATCAGATTCACTCGTCTGTCTCCCATTTTTGTCATGGTCTTGAGTTGGGCTGTGACAAATGGGGGCTCGTCCGGGATTTTGTACATATTGTTTTTCCCTAACCTTCTTATCATTTTAAGGCAAAAATATTAGCTGTTTTAATTTTGACTGGACATTAAACTTTTGCTTAAATGCTGTTAAACACAGGAAGACATACGTAGTTAATGTAATTTTTTAAGAGATGAAACAATAAATTGTTAGTTCCTATTAATAGGATGTGTTTCATATTTCTGTTTACATAAGTAAAACAAGGCAAATTTATTCAATTTTTAAAATAAAAAATTTGGAAGAGTGTTGACGTTTGATCAGGTTTTATTGTGAAAATGAGTTTGATCTCCTTCTCAGGTCTGAAAAAGCTCATTCTCCTTGTAAGGCACTAATTATTTAGTCATGGTGTTGACTGGATGACCCCTTTGAGAAATCATTAATTGCAATCATTAGGATACACTCAGAGGCTGTTTATTGAGAAGATGTGTTTGAACAGCAACATTTATCTGGAGCTGCAGCGGTTTGAGCAGTTAAAGCTGAATGAATTCAACTCATTCTGTCAATGCTCAGCATGTAAAATGTCTTTTTCCACAGCGAAACTCAGTTCATTCACTTTATGTGACAGCCAATAACCTTATCTGAAAATTAGTCATGCCATGTTTCACTACTTTGCACGCAGGCTTGCTTCTGAAGGCTGGCTCACTCGGTGATGTCCGCCCGCGGAGCTTTCTGGTGCCAGAGCCTGAGTGAATCCTTCCTCGGCCGGCTTCTTCATCATCATAGGTCTTGTGTGACRGKGGGTCTCAAAGAGGCAGCGAGCTGACACATTTGTCCTCCCAGCTCTGTTCCCCGCTGACGAAGTATAAATCGGAGTCTAAACACACAAGCAGCAGGATGGATGACAGCCTGAGTCTCCAGGATCAATTTGCCACAAATTAGATACAGCGATGGTTCATTTCTCCACATAAATAGCTGCGTCTGTGGGGACTATTTTGGAAATTTGCTGCTTTTACTCTGGAAATCAGTGTTCCTTCCCCAACGTCTATTTAATCCTTTTTATAGAGCACAGAAATGCTTTCTCTCTCTCTCTCTCTCTCTCTCTCTCTCTCTCTCTCTCTCTCTCTCTCTCTCCTGCTCTTTATTTCACACACAATGCTGCAGCTTCTGTTAATAAAATGTTGCACTGTAACATCTCCTGCCTAATTTGTTACGTTAAACACCATTCTCTATGCATATTAATTTGTTTTAATTAATCTGAAATTATCTGTCTGACTCTGACTGAACAATGATAAATTTCAGCCCTGAGATAATTAAGATTCATATCAGCATTGGTATTTTGTTGATTTGTGTCTACTCTCAGTGTTAGGGTTAAAGTCTGTCTGTCCGGCCACTGAGGAACTCAGATGTCCATGGATTAAAGATTAAAGTCCCTGTGATGTGCATATACCTCAATAAAACATCTTTATATTTAAGAAACTTTGCATAATACACATGATTTTACTCATTTTGTCACATAAATCGCATATTTCCTTTTGAACTTGACCCAGCTAAAGTGAAACAGGAAGTGACATCAAAGCAGAACTCTTTAAGAAAGACATCTCTGTTTTTTTATTGAAACAATATTTAAACTGTAACTGATCTTCGTCTCTCTAATGGTGACTCAAAATAATCTAAAGAAACATCAGATTCTTCTCCACAGTCTGTCTTAGCTATTGCAGCAACGCTCTGTTTACATGCAGACATTCCCCTTTGACGTCACTTCCTGTTTCTTCACATGCAAATATCTCAACAGCTGTTCATTTCAGCTGTGTGAAATTAGTTTTTCAATAGGTTATTTATGTTATCTTTCCAAAAATGTGCTCATATTTATTACAAAAATTTGACGACACAGGCCCTTTAAAGTGATCCACAAGCATGCTGGGTAAATGATGACATCATCTAGGTAATTCGAGCAAGGCTGCGAACTTAACTAGCCTGAAGGTTAGCTAGCACAAAAGCTAGCAGGCTAAGCTGAGGTTCTCCATCCATGAAACTAAACAGCCTACAATAGTTTAACAGTTTTTATTTTACAGTTAAAATAAATGTTTATGAAATAATGTTTAAAGTTTCAAACAATTGTGGATCCCTTTAAACAACTCAACCTGCTCCCGTAGCCCCCACACAAGGTGAGGGTTGAGTCATTAATATTTATGATTAAACTCAACTACAAACTGTGAGAAGGGTTTTA